AAGCAATCATTTTCATAGTTAAATGCCAATTGACGCTGATGTTGTTTCACTAATGATTTAGTGAGATTCTTAACATTTTTGCCACATCTATTGAAAAAATTGTGTTTAGCTTCAAATCGCATGCACCACATATGGATAAGAGGGCCATTTTTTTGTATGCATCTACAGTGTACCATCAAGTGGTGCTTGGGAATCAACCTCTTGTCAGGAAACAATTCTTTGAACAGAGTATGGTGATCACAGATCAGATGTTTCAAGTTACATATCATTCCATCAGTTATGGTGTAGGAAAACACTATATTGACAATCTGGATCAAAAGCAGCAGAAAGTTCCAGTGACTGTTATTCTATTCAATGACATCACCAAACATTAGTGGAGTGTTATGCACGAGACACCATGACTGGATGGCATTCAAACCTAGATCTTTGCTCTTATCATCCATTTTTATCCAACTTGGTTTGTTTTTACGCTCCGTGTAACTATAATTAAAGTTCTGTATCCTGTTTGATAATGTGTTCAAAGAGATATAGCCCTGTTTAACAAGGTACTCAAAATTCAGCTTTAGTTCGTACTGTAACACACTTTCCAGCAGATCGTGCATTATGTCAACAGCATAGTTGTCAGTGCAATGGAAATACTGTAAGGAGTTGAGCACACATGACTTTTTAACACCATATATTGACCGCAGTTCAGGATTTTCATTTACCTTACAATGTTCAGTATAAAGTTATTTGGAACGGAAAATTAACCCAGGATGATCTTCAGTAAATATAGATTGAATTTCTTGCTTACTGATTAAACAAAATCTACAGAAATGGGTTGCACTGAATGATTCCACAAAGCCCAACAAGCCATTTAAAGCCAAATTATCTCCCGTTATTTGAATAACTGAGCCAAACAATGGTTGTTCAAAAGAAGGAAGCTTTAAGATCATCAATAAGAGGCTTTAGTATCACATCAAAACCATATTTTTTCAGATCTTCAGAATGAAACAGAGCTGCCACATATACACTCATCAGTACTGAGTTACACTTGGGTGGAAGATTTTTTAAAGTAAAGTAGACACAATCTAGTTTGTGGATCCCCTTTTTGGAACCGAGAGGGTTAGCCGTCGTAAAATAGTAGAATCTGTAGTGCATGCTTTTTCTGTGAGAACAGGGCATGGTTTTGGCAATATGACCCCTCATTGATGTCTTTGTAAATGCCATTTTCACTCCGTAGAAGGCTTTCTCTTACTTGGTCATTTTTTAATATGGATTTAAGTCTACTAAAAATGGGTACATACGTACACTTGTCTGTTACAGGAACCTCACTGTATAACCCTGTTATTCTATCTCTGCGCAAATCCAGCCTCACACCAAGGACACATTCTTTAGGTTCAACTATTTCCCATGATTCATTATAATATTTACGCCTTTTTGACTCTGTGTTTAATACTGTAAAAGGATTACCTCATTGATCAAAACAATCATCTATTCTGGATCCTGGAGTGTCTGTTTTAAGAACAGCATTTTTTGCCTGACTTTTAACATCATTAACAACTTCTTCCATTGAACAAACAATCGTTTGGACAGCACTTTCAGAGAGACCTGATGCTTGCAAATGCGCAAAAATTGATCCACATATTGACGATAGTTGACTTGTATCAACAGAGCTTTCTGACTTTTGCAAAGTGGCAACAACCTTTGGGGAATCACTTGAACATTCCGCCTCACATTCTCGCTGAGTAGAAACATCATGAACAATATCAATCTCTTGATTAACCTGACTATGCACCTTGGTGAGGTGCTTTCGTCTTTTACACTCTAGTACAAAATGATAATGGCAATGGAGCTCTCCACATTTTAAACGCAACTTTTTGCCAGGATATAAACCATGTTGGAATTTTAAATGTTGACAAAGAACCACACACGTTATGTGATGTGTTTTACAGACAAAACACGTGAACATCTTCAAGGCTGTTTATCGGATACAGCACTTCGCTGCAGCAGTCGTGCTCGGAGTTCTTTAACACGCGGGCTCTCCTTTGCTCTTCCGACATCGATGTTGTATATAGTGGTTTGGATGAATGTGTAAAAATTACAAAGAGCTTCGTCATATGAGAGACTGAAGACGTAGTGAGCTTTGAACAGTTCATCAAAAGCTGTGTGCCTTGCACGGGATTGGTTTTTGGTCGATAATAAGGTAGGACCCTTGGATATTCTTCTTTTGCTCACCGATGCAAAGGAGGAACGGTTGTCTTGCGTCGACACTCTCAAGGAAGGTAGTAATACTGGCTCCTTCCTGTAGGTCAGTTAAGAGACATAAATTACTATAACATCTCGATCACATTTCTGCAGATATACAGAGCAAAAATGTCTCAGAATCCCAACATCTATTCAGGGATTCTTGGTGTAGGAACTTTTGCATACCTTAAGATATCTAACAAGATGGCTGGTTGCTTGAGCTGAACTGATCTTGGCAGTTTTTTTCTGGCCCCTTGAAGTTGGAGGGAGTAGATGCAGCAGCAAAATGATTAAAGACATATCACTGTCCCATCCTAAAGGCATAAAAAATGTATTTATGTAGTATAACACTGAAATATATTTCAACAACACATTTTATACTGACCATTGTTGTCTTCAGACTCAGATTCAGTTGCTGACAGCAACTCATCCATATTCTTTGCAGTCTTGCAGTCCGTGATGATGTTTGGCTTGAAGAAAGTTGACCACTTGGACAGGAACTTCTGAGACACTTCGTCACCAAACATCATTGAGAAATCCTGGTCGATCTACAAACAAGGAAAACAATATTTTAATATACAGGTTCAAGCATACATGACAAAATTAATGAAAGGTCAAATACTGAAATGGAAGATTGAAAAGACGATTAAAGAGATTATAGTATAGTGCAGACACATATTATATTGTCCTGCACTGGACTATATTACTGTTCTACACTGGACAACTACAACCAAAGCAAAATAGTTTTCTTACCAATCCAGGTACATCAAGAAAACGAGGGAACACATCCAGGACTGAAGATGATGCATCATCCCCAACCATCTTCTGTCGATACTGGAAAGTCGCTCTCATCTTCTCTTTGACCACAGATTCATTGCTGGAATGTCTTATTGTAGATATCGCCTCCCTGCACTCCTCACCAAATAGCTGTTGGCAGGTTGACAGAGATTTTCGCCTGGTTTTTGGACCATCCTGAAGAGCGGTCTTGGAACGATCCCGCAAGCCAGCAAAGGTGTTGGACCGTCTTGATCCTCCATGAAATGAAGCCAGTATTACCCTCAGGATCATTGTAGTGTTTCTTTTTAAAGAAGGACCCAAACAGAGGCATCTCATGCTTCAATTTAAGAATAAGTTACTCAACACAAAAATTGTAGACAGTGAATAGACTGCAAAACATTTTAAAAAACAGGTTGAAAATGTGTGAGCAACCTACAAAAACTCATCTGAAACAAGATGAGTACAAACTAGAAAAGTGAAGAAGATATTGAAATCACACTGATTTGGTTTTCAGATAGAACTTAAGTATCAAGTTTGGAGAATGGATCACGGAGGTATGGAAAAAGAGTCACAATTCCCAGTGCATAATTTGTCTTTACACTTGACGGTGGAACCCTCCTTTAAAAATAAGTCATAGTTTACTCTTAAGCATGTATGTTTTGTAAGAATAAATACACCTTTACCACTTATACAGAACAGCATTATTTAGCTACAACACATTACATGACATAACCAAGTGACCTGCAATTCTTACCCATGTAGCTCTATCATATCTGCAACCAGGATGTTCACCATTTGTTTACAGGTTGCATCAGTTAGTGTTTTAGTCTTATCATACTCATTGAAGACTTCTTCACCCTTTGGATTGGCCCTCAGAACACCCTCAACTATCTGCCAAGAAATATTACATTGTTATAGCATGCTTACGGTAATTTAGTGGGTTTTTTAAAGAATTTAACTTTTCTAATGACATTACTTTATACTGCGAATACATTTACAAAAAAAATAATTAATTTAGGATTTCAAATGTATTTATTCAAAGCTTACCTGTTTTGCTTCATTCTGGTCCATTAACCCTGTTGGGTTCCTCCTTTTTCTTGTGGACTCCAGAATAACGGTGGAATCAGATGAATGGGATAAAGCTGGGGATAGTGCAGTCTGTGCCACTACAAAGGATGAATGGGATGAAGTTGGGGACAGTAATGTCAATACAGAGGAGGATGCTTGATCTGCAACCAGCTCAACATCCAGATCTACAAAATGGCAGACAGAACAAAGACAATTTAAATGTATATTAAATGAATATATATATATTTGCTTCTATGCGGCTAAGACATGGGAACCGGTTCTGGCTCTGAGCTAGCCAGCTAACTAGCATTTTTTTATTTGAAAGAATGTTGGCAGTACTAAAGTATCGTCACATAACTTAACGTTACATTGCCAAACTTTAAACACGCAACAGGAATTCTATTTAGCTCACAGTTCAAGTCAAGTCAAGTCATTTTATTTTGTATAGCCCATAATCGCATATTACAAATTTGCCTCAGAGGGCTTTACAGTCTGTACACATACAACATCCTCTGCCCCGAAACCCACCATCGGCACAGGAAAAACTCCCCAAAAACCCCCCTTACAAGTTAGACTCAATAGACTAGTAATCAGAAAACGTGTGATAGTAGAAGAAACAAACTCTTGCTAATGTTAGCTTGCCAACGTTAGCTTGCCAGTAATAGTAAAAAAAAGTACAGGTAATTTAGCTTTTATCTAAACCGACTTACATTGCATTTTTAACCCACTTGGTTCCAGTGGGTCGTCGTGGCTTCATAAGCCAATCAGGCTGCTCATCGAGGTGTGCTGAGGAACATCAGTGCACCCGCTTGACCCGCCGGCCACAAGGAGTAGATCATCATGTCTTATGTTGTTATTTATTATGGCTAATTGGTCATTATTGGACAATTGTCAAAACATCTTGTGTTTGTCCTGTGTTGGATCTGCAGATTTGGATACGCCTCTGTGTCCATGTACTGCTGTTCATCACGCTCGGGGTACATTCAAGCAGATTTGACATCAACCCAGTGACAGATGACATCTCTAGACTCTCTATTCTGGTGAGAACAATGCTGCGATTCACTACAACATTACCGGCTAACGCCAAACTCCAGTTTGGGATAAATTTCATTATTTGTTTGAAGTTCTGTTGATTCCAAGAGGGCTGGCTGTTTTCGAAAATGTAATTTGTTTTACAGAGACAAAATATTCCTGAAGATTACAAAATTCCTGTACATTACGTTCTGAGGGAAAAGGTAAGATGTGGTGGCATCCGCTCTGCGAGGATTATTGTACGTTAGTGGATATGCAGTCTGTTATGTACACATTGCTCAATTAATGCCATACATGCTTCCTCTTTCAGGGAGGGATGTGTTGGGTGAAATTAAACGTCTTCTACTTGGAGGAGAGCTTAAAAGGTTTAGCACATACGTTTGGAAACATTTCCTCCAACAGAAAAGATATTAGCATATTCATCCAAATGTTCCAAGAACTGCGGCTCAACATGGGCTCTTTGGTAAGTTCACATGGCAGTGGTATGATTTCTCAACATGTCCATTGCTAGATGGAAAACATACTCAGTTGTTTTGTTTTGTTTGTTTTTTGAAATGCAATATAATGTAAATCGCTTTGAATAAAAGCGTCAGCTAAATGACCTGTAATGTAATGTAGAAGATGCGACTAATGTTGACGTGTGTCTTTGCAGGAACTGATCATGTACGACTTTGAGTGCCACTACAGGCAAGAGAGGTGGCAGACGGCACAGTACTTTGACTTTGTCAAAGACTTCCTTAGAGCTGCACAGAATAAAGAAGATTCCGATGACTGCGACCCTCCTCCCTGTCCCACAACACCATACGCAGTAACAACAGCAGATTATTTAAATGGTGAATGTTTATTTGACTCAGTATTTACACGTGTTAGCCTGCTATTTGTGCTCCTTTACAGAAAACCATCCACGTCATGGTTGTGTATTTGGCTGCCATTATTAACCCTATGGCCTTTTCCGCTGGGTCTTCTCACTGAGGTCTTTACTGTGCACACAGCATCACCTGTAGAAGTACTTTTCAATCGCAAAGTATAAAACCTGCGAATTTATTGGTGCTCCTCAATATGCACGTTAGATCCCCTCTGGTTTCGAATTCTCATCAAATCAGCTCTAAACTTTGCTGGCGTTTTGAGGGGCGGGGTTTGCGTGGTGGTGGGGGGGGGGGGTGTTGAGTGAGAGAAGCTTAGGTTTAAAACAAAAATAAGACACAGCTGTGACTTTCTGACTCTCTGGGAGAAAGCTACAACATAAATTGTGGTGGACTGGCAAATGTCAGGTGCTAACGTGGTTATCTGACATGTTTCATTGCCACAATGAATCACCCACCGAGATGTGAGCCGCGTGATGCTACGATAAGACAACAAAGACTGGTCAGAGATAACAATCAGTCTAAGGCTAGCGTTCTCTGGCAGAGACTCACGGGTGTGGATTTCTCTCATGTGGCACGGGACGGGTGGAGACCCAACATCGGCATTGTGTCCACATCCCACTCTGACAGTTCCGCATCTATTGTCTGACTGCCAACTGTTTTTTGGAAGCATTTATTTGAAACAAATGGCTGACCTGTCAGTGTTTAGTTACAGCATGATTGGCTCAAAGGTAAGTCTTGGTAGAAACGGAACAGGTTTCCATTGGGTATACACTCACCTGCGGCTGATAACAGAAGGGTTTGTGTTACTTGCGAGGCTCTGCAACGTTTCCACGGTGGCACAAAAAGGACATACCAAACCGCAGCTCTCGAAAGAGCCTTTTTGTGCTTTCCAAAGCACATGGTCACAACACAAGCCGCGTTCCTGCCCGCAAATCATCGTCCGAAGCACTCGGCTGTCACGAAAAACCCCGCGGCGTCGCATCAGGGGTCTTCAGATGGAACCTCCACACTACTTTAATTACCATCCACTGAATCCCACACACGTGACCTTTCCAGTGCTTTGCTGCCTGAGTTGAGAATCTAGGTCACACTTCCGGCGCAATTTTTATGATCCGGGCTACAAATTCGAACCAGCAGTCGACACCGTGCTCAGGTAGCACATGTGAGAGGGAAGAAAATGTCCGAAACCTCATTGTGTAGGTGTTGTTTACTGAGCAATCTTCCAATCTAAGCGTGGACCATGTGTGTGTGTGTGTGCAGGGAGGGAGGGGGGGAGAGGGGCGGCAGCATGAAAAAGGCACTATTGAGCTACTTTTTAGCACCTGACAATGACATGTTTTCACCATAAGGCCCTCACTAACCCCCCGCCCCCACACTACAGCAACACCAGCCGCCAGCAGTAAAGACACGGAGTGCGCAAACTGCGCAGGCTGCAAACAGCGTAAGTATGTTTTGGGTTCAGTCAGGTGTCGGGTCTGTGTTCTTGTGGCAGAAACCAGCCCAGCTGGTATGTCAGAGTGGCTTTCGCCTGTGTTTTGCCACATTTGACAGCGAAGTCAGCCCTGTTGCCCACGAAGCTGCAGTCCCTCGAAATTCACATCAGTTCTTTGTGTGCTGTATCGTATCTCATCTCGTCGGGCATGCTGGAGTGTCAGAAGCAGGTTTTTTGTGTCTAGTTCAGTAATGATGTTTGTTTTTTTTACACGAAAGCAAGACTAGAGCGAAGTTAAAACCTCCTCAAGATTTCCAACCTCTTGGGTCTAATTATTGTCAGGGCTGTAGTGGAGGGTAAACGCACGTAAACGCCATTTACGCACCTCTAGAATTTTGGAAATAGCGGTTACGCACCTATAAATAGCGTTTGCGCACCTCTAAGTGGCTTTTACGCACCTCAAAGTTCCCTGCGCCTTGTATTCTTCCGTTGGAATAATCCGAAATAAACTTGGTGTAATGTTAAAACAAGACTACGTTTCCTATTGTTGAACATATAAACGCCGTAGTCTGAATCATTTTCATCTGCGCTGTATTACGGTCTGTGACCATCCAATCAGTGCCTTGCGGCTGCAGCAGCGACACCAATCAGGATCCAGGAGGTATGTAAACACATACACGTTGTGGATCAGCCCAGTGGTCCCCAACCTTTTTTACCTCACGGACCGGTTTCATGTCAGACAATATTTCGCCGACCGTTCGAGAAGGTCCGACGGGGAGGGGGTGTAGTAGTCGTTGCGGGCGGAATGACCGACGGGGGGGGGTAGTAGTCGTGCGCTCTGTGTTCGCTGGTCGTGCACGGTAAAAGGACAAGAAAAACACCTGGTGACGCGTAGATTAGAAAACAAGTCAGTTCTCAATGTGAAAAAAAACATACTGTATAGACTATTTATGATGACATAGGTAGTACATGAGTGTTCCTTTAACTTATGTTACCAGTGTAATTGACAGGGTGCTTAACTGGTTAACTCTGAAATTCAACATATTTTTTCAGGCAGTGATAGGACAGGCAATGATGCAGAGAGCACAGGGAGAGGAGAAACACCAGGTCGAATAGAGAGAGGAGATGCACATAGGAGCCATGAACCCCACAACACGTGTTCTGGGGTTCATGACTCCTCTGTGCAAGGCAGGACCTGACGTGGAGGACAAGGAGGCCCTCTGGGCACTACTGTAAAAAGGAGACTCCGTGTGTAGATAGTTCTTAATCTGCAATTGTCTTGTTGTGTTGTGTTGACATACTTTTCTTTACTGTTTTCTTAAATTGAATAAACTACAAACACATGTATTCATTGTCAATGATTGTATATGACTTTTACTGATAACATAATGCAATATAGCCAGGACAGCCTTACAAGAGTCGTGACGCTTTGTGTTGCGTTGCTTCGCATCGCGTCGAGGTCTGTATGATCACAAAATTCAGAGTTTACCCACCTCTAATTTTACCACTACAGCACTGATTATTGTTAACATGTAAATCTTTAAATTGTTACGTTTTACTGTGTTTTTTCCCCCAGATTCTGAAACGAGAGCCCTGTCTGCGGTGGTGGAGCAAAGCTTTCTCTCCTTACTGTTCATTCCACTCCTAGCGCTCATATTGCTGCTTGTGTGGAAGGTGAGTTGACCTTTGACCCCAGCCTCTAAGCTGTTTCATATCCCGGGGGAACTCCGGTTTGGATTTATGACGCACCCAAAGTGCAGAGGATATGTGAGACTGTTGAGTTATGTCGCTTTCAGCCGCAACTGATTTCCATTTTTGAAACTCTTCTGTTAATATTTATTTCCTAAAACAGGTTCGATGCTGTAGGAACGAGGAGGATCTGGAACAAAGTCATGGAGAAGGTGGACTCTTCCCAGGAGCCAAAGCAACTGCAACTCCACTAGACACTGAAATATCAGAAAAGTGAGTTCTGCTCTTTGACATTGTTTTCTTGTTCCTGTCGAGAAATATTTAGATAAATATGTAACCATTTTAATTAAATGAGTTTAAAGCTAGCGTTTTGTTAGCATTAAAACCATTAGCACCAGAGGAGATAAAAAAAAAGTCAGAAGGCCATGCGAGTTACTGCTTGTTCAGTGGTGAGATCAAATGACTTGTGCAGTGCCGCTAATAACATTAACCACATTTTAGCTCAGGTACATTTTTAACCAAAGAGTTGATTTCGGAACCTATGCCCTGCTTATGCTTAGAATTTATAAATGTATTCACACACCACTCAGGCTTTGGCTGTTAATAATAACAATAATCATATTCCGTTTTTGGAAATTTCTCAATTTCTCCGAACTGTTCATCCCGTTGATTTTGTCGTCGCCCAGTTAAACCTGTTATGTTACCGCATTGAAAGCTTCTGACCTTGAGTGTTAAAATCTTCCTACAGCTCGTTGTTGAGCCGTATGGGGGAGTGACGTTCACTGTCTGACATTTCTCTTTCCGTCTAATTACAGAAACATGTTGAACGTCATTAAAATCGAGTAACGGTGCTGCATCCCACCCACCTCTTGGTGAGATTTTGAAAATCCAAAGCAAATCCTCTAGCAGCTGCGCTCTGAAACCTCCCTCCACACACGTTTCTCTCGTTCCCCCGTTGGTGTTCAGACCAAAACCCATGAAGCCGATTTCCATTGCGCCATCGCAAAGTAACAAGGTACCCGGCTTGTTTTCGACTTCTCCCGCAGACCGGCGGTCACACACGCGCAACCGAGACCCCATTCGGAGGAGCCGTGCGGATGAGCTACGACTTTCATGTAAGACTGCATTAACCTCGTGCTTCTGAAAAAGACTAAGATTTAAGCGGAGTGTAACCCCCGATTTCCACCAAATGCGGAACGGCTGCGGAACGGCTAAGCTGCGTGACAGCTCCGCGTTCCGTCGTCCGTCAATACCCACCAGGTCCGGATTTGTTGCGGAACGGCTGCGGCCATGATTGACATCTGACGTCACGAGGTCCCATGTAATCTCGCGAATTCTGGTGTGATCGTGCAATATGTAGTTTCTATCAACTTAAAAAAACTTAAACAGGCCTGTCTCCGCCCATTATGACGTTTTCAAGGTGTAGTGTAGGGAAATATGATCCGCCATAAGCACGGTGTATTTCATTTTGAAAATTAAATGGATCATTTATTTTGTTTCTGACTGTTCGGTTGTTTTGCTTAACTTCCTGTCCTGCGTACTCTGCACTGTAGTGCTGCGCAGCGCTCCGGCATCCGGCAAAAATAGAAGCTCTGCGTATTTGCTCCGGAGGGCTGCGGATCGCCGGAGTCGGAACGCGGCCGTCCCGCAGTCAGTGGAAATACACACATTGAATTTAATGGAAACCTTTTGACTCCGCCGCCGTGCCGGAGCCGTTACGCAGCCGTTACGGAGTTGGTGGAAATTGAGGGTCACCCGCCCCACTTCCCCACCACCACCCCCCACCGACTTGGCTCCCGCAGATTGTCCTGCAGAACTTGCTGCTCCATAAACCTCCCCCACACCCCTCCCACACTACTCCACCCTTCAGCAACAGTCTGCATGTGGGGGGGGTTTCGGACCCGGTGGTCTACAAAGTGGCGCTTCAACAAAGAAGGGTGACGGACACTCGCCCCCTTTTGTGAACAAGTTACATACCCTCGTATGATGTTGTTGTTGGTTAACGTGACTCTGATGGTTTTGGTTGAGTGAATGGATCACAAGTGTGTTTAAATGACTACATTACAGAAAATCTTCAAACACAAAATCCCACCCATCAGCTCATTCTTCCTCATTTTGCCTTTGTCAGTCTTACGTCTCGCATAATAAAACTCACTAAAGACAATATGACAAAGCTAGCTACTCCATGCATCATGATTGAAGTGCTAATGCCATTCTGAAGGATGAAATCTTACAGACCTTATTTGTTATTATTATTTGTTCTCACAATGCTCGCCAGGTAGGAACGCCATGTAGACTAGTACAGGGATCCATGTGAAGGGCAGAATAATAAATGTCAGCTAAATCCAAACAGTTGCCGCTTGGTTGCGCAACCCACGATATAAAATCTGTAGAAAGTGAGAAAGAACTGGTTCCTGGACGACGTAGTGGTGCCCCTCCCTGCCTTTATACACTCACATCTGATAAGTTCGCTGCCAACAGTGCTCCATATCTCACTGATAACAGATCCCAACGGGTTAAAGGCATTTAAACTATGGCAAGCAGTTTAGGCTCTTGTAAGCTAAGTTTGAGTTTACGAGTTTATCGCAACAGCGGCTCCGGCGCCAGTCTGCGACAAACGCTGCGCTTTCATTAGGGAGGCTCTGCGGACGTGGCTTTGTGAAGACGCCTTGGGAGCAGAGCTTTGACCGGGGACGAAAATGACATGTCATGTTTGTGGTCTTACATTGTACCATATCCATTTCTTTGTTCTGTGCCTTGTTGGATTAGTTTGATTGACTCGTAGATGTAGAAAGAAAAGCCTCTCTATGTTTCTGTGTGGTAGCATGACGTGGTGAGGCCTTGCAGGTTAGTTTGATAACAGACACGTTCCCCAAACTTTCTATTTTTTCTTAAGATTTAGATTTTTTTTTTGTTTGAGCTGATATCAATGTAGTTGGTTGACTTGTGCCCGGTTAGGATTAGGAAGACGGTTTTCTGAAAAAGCTCATTAGCAGACTAATCTATAGTGGTTAGGACATTTCTTTTCACACAACTTTACATGTTATCCTTTTGCAACCTTTAAGAAACAGTCTGTGGGTTTGGGACTTAGGAGGAGTATTCTGTGCAAAATTGAATCTGGGTTTGAAAGCTGCAACAGGTCTAACCTGTGAACAAAAACAAGAGAGAATGTGAAAAGGAAGAGCCTGTTCCCCAAATTGACTGACAAGTGGGCTAGTGCATTCCTTGTTTGGGACAGGGCACAGAATATATATGTAACCGCCTAAAGGTGAACCTTAATGTCAGCACTTGATTATATAATTGTTCACATGTACATCAACAGTGTTGACATTATATAAGAATGTATGTGAATTATTATCATAACTGTTTAGGATACAGCATGTTCAATTAGACCTGACAGAACTCCCTGCCAGTTGGTTTCTCCCATTTAGTCCAATTGACGGGAAGGCTGTATAAAAGCGAGGGGAAAGGGAAACGCCAAGAGAGTCTGGAGTGAAGTCACCTGCAGAGAGGTTGTTGTTATTTGATTCATTTTGTTCCTGTTTGGCCATTACAAGTGTTTGTTTTTTCTGTTTTGCTGGAGACCAACGAAAGGTAATAAAATAGAATAGTTAATTGCATCCCAGAGCGCGGCTTCTTTCTTGCCTGCACCTCATTCCAACTCAAACCTCAGTGAGTCCTTGACACCACCATCCTGTGTAGGCGTTGGCCTCAAAGGCGCTACGTCACAGAGAAAAACAACAATATCTCCCATTTTGCTGTCTCTGCGAGAGCTGCAAACGCTCCTTGTGTATGATGCACGGAGAGCAGAAATCCATGCGTTGGTCAGGAGGACGGTCGCCCTCAAGAGCTGTTGGTGTGCGGGTTGCTGTATCTCCTGAGGGAGCAGAGCTACACATTGAACACTGCTTTCGGGCTCGATGAATCCAATCCAACCGGCTGCAGTGTGGGGAAGAAAAGGCTCCAGGCAGGAAATACATCTGGGTGCCAAAAAGCAAATGTAATTATTGCCTGTTGGTTTTCTGGGTGAAAACTGTTTTCTGTATTTGTGTATAAATGTAAAGAAACGTATATGAGATATGAATAAAGTACATGTATTCAACTGTTATTTATTTTAATTTTTTTTGTGGTTCAGGGCATCCAATCAAGCTTTTTGAGTGTGTTACCCTGCAAGGTGGGCCGGAAGTTTACATTTTTGTAGCTATTGGAACATAAAGCTCAACCAATGGTGGCCCGATTTGAAAAGGAAAGACTTTTACCATTTAAATAAACATTTAAATCCGGGACCGACACGTGGATGGAGACAGCGATGAGGCCTGGTCAGATGTGCAGATGAGGCCTCAGCAGTCTCTCCCTGTGTTGCAGACTTATGACCTAGCTGGGTTAGCGTAGCTTCCATCGACCGGCCTGCGGCAGCACATGCCGTTGACATGCCAACAGAAACCTGGGATGTTTTTTTATTATCAGCACTTCATACCAAATTGCTGCTCCATCGCAAAACCCCTGTTTGCTCTCACAGCAGGCCAGAAACGAAGAGGGAAGGCCGGAAAGTACAGTCGGAATCCAGGAGTCTACAGAAAGCTCAAGCCGGCAGACTGGACCCTGGACTGCAATTCTGCCTTCGTTAGCCTTAAGGAGAAGCTCCTGAACTGTGCGGTCCTCACCCATCCAGACTTCTCTAGGCCCTTGGTTCTGTCCATTGATGCGTCTCTTGATGGCCTTGGGGCAGTCCTGTCCCAGATACCAGAAGGAGAAACGAAGGCACGTCCGATTGCCTTTGCCAGCAAGACCCTTACTGGTTCACAAAAGAGGTATCCTCCTCATAGCCTAGCGCCAATTCTTGGCGCTCAAATGGAGTGTTTGTGAAAAGTTCAGCCACAGGTTGAAGGGACACACTTTTACAGTGTGGACTGACAATAATCCCTTGACCTACATAATGACCAAACCAAAGCTCGAGGCTTGCGAACAAAGGTGGGTGGCAAAACTTTCCCTGTATACTTTCAATATCAAACACATCCCTGGGATAAAGAACATTGTGGCGGATGCTCTAAGCAGAGATCCTTTTGCTAAGTCAGTGGGTCAGAGGTTAATCAGTGAGTCATATGAAAGGACTAAGAGTCCAGGACCTCTTTCGGTGCAAAATCCTGTGTCTTCAGGCACACGATGCGGGCGGTTGCATAACCATGGATACCTCTCATGATAGGCCAGTCGGCAGTAAAGAACCCCTGGATGTGAGGTCTACTTGTGAAGCTCATGTAGAGTGGGAAAAGGGAGCCTAGATAAGAGCAACGCAATTTCTCAATGCTTTTCCCCAGGTGGTGCCTTCAGATCAAGACGCACCTTCAGTCCTCTCTATCGGCGAGCTAAGGAGCAGTCAGGAAAATGATCCAGATATCAGGGAAGTCTTGTCACTCGTTCAGATGGGTGAGCCACGACCTAGACGAAGGAGAAGTAAGTTAGCTCCTACGGCCCAGACACTGTGCAAACAGTGGCATCATCTAAAAGTTGAGGACGGAGTCCTATATAGGGTAACCAGAGATCCATTGAGCAGAGAGAAGAGTTATCAGTTTGTGCTGCCTGTTAGCTTGAGGGCCAAGGCTCTCGCCGGCGTACATGACCTCGCTGGACATCAAGGGCAGGCTAGAACAGCACATCTTGCCCGACAGAGGTTTCTTCTGGTCGCAAATGGGAAGAGACATCAAGGAGTATGTGAAATGTTGTCAACGCTGTATCGTGGCAAAAACCCCTGAACCAGCTGCTCGGGCTCCCTTGGAGAGCATTCGGACTTCGGCACCCATGGAACTGGTGTGCATTGATTTTTGGAGCGCCGAGGACAGTAAGCAAAGATCTGTGGATGTATTGGTCATAACAGACCACTTCACAAAATTGGCCCATGCGTTCCCTTGTGTTAACCAAACTGCAAAGCAAGTAGCGAAGAAGTTATGGGATAACGTGTTCTGCATTTATGGTTTTTCGGGGCGAATACATTCCGATCAGGGAGCCAACTTTGAAAGTAAACTCTTAGCCGAACTCCTCGACCTCACAGGAATTACGAAAACGACTGCATACCATCCTATGGGAAATGGACAAACCGAAAGGTTTATCGGACGCTAGGCAGTATGTTGCGTGCCCTACCGCTGACAGCCAAACAACACTGGGCGCAACAGATACAGACTTTGACCTTTGCATATAATGCCACCATTCATGAAACCACTGGATATCCTCCGTTCTACCTGATGTACGATCGAGTCCCGAGACTCCGAGTGGATATGGTCTTCAAACAGGTCTTGAAGGATCCGGTCGTGGTGAATTATAAGACCTATGCAGAGAAGCTGATGGCGAACCTTCATGTGGCTGCAGGCATAGCTCAGCAGCACGCGAGGAAAGAACAGCAACACCAGGCTGATGGCTATAACAAGAGAGTACGTGGAACCCACTTGAACGTTGGCGACCGAGTTTTGCTTGCTAATAAAGCGGAAAGAGGGAAGAGGAAGCTGGCGGACAAGTGGGAGCCCACCGTGTATACCATTGTGGACCGGAATCCTCAGACTCACGTCTACAAAGTCAGGGATGAGAGCGGAAGAACCAAGGTCGTTCATCGGAATCTAATGTTGGACGTGAGTTTCTTACCTGTCTCAGAACAAAGCGGAGAGGAGTTGGATGAGGATGCTTCGGATGTGAGTAGTGAGTCCCAGCCACCCTCTGTCGATGCTTTGAGTAACCTGGCAGCAGACGCTTCTGAGGACTGCACCTGTTCATGGTTGGGTGCGGCATCCGATGTCGAGTCTGAGTTGGTGGAGGGAGTTGATGAGTCCGAAATGGAGGACAAGATGTACCACTCTCTGTCCAGAGACTCTGTTCGACGTACGTCGACGAGAACCCAGTCTGACTCTGGCTCTCTGACTGCAGCTCTTGACTTAGGTGAGACGGGACCCTCAAACGTCACCTCTCCTGTTACGATAGCTGATAGGCGAACACCCACACTAGCGCAGAGGCCTGGGGGACAGGTGGTCAGGACACGTACTGGGAGGGTTGTGAAGGCAGTCAATCGTTTGATTGAGAACATGGTGCAGAAACCGCTCACCAAGGGTTTCGTTGATGGGGTCAATAAAAGATCGCTGTCGTTGTTCAACTTATTTCAGACAGAGCGTCTGTGTTAGAGTGTAGCGTTAAGTTTTGCTTATTGGATACATTCTGATCGGGGTTGCAAATTGGTGAATGAGTGTCATGACAAAATATGGTGTATAAGGCACCATATTTACTAAAAAAGGATAGTAGCCTGATCAGCTACGGTTTTCTTTGGACTTACCTCGTAAGTAGCTTGATATGCTGTGTGAGGAATTAGATTCCGAGGGATGTCTCGGACCATGTGAATGTGAACCTTATGCTCTGTGTTAATGGTTTATTCTTAGTGGATTAACCCTACGTGTTCAGGATTTTGGTGAAATTAAAGAGGGGTGAATGTAACAGGTCTAAGTAAATATGTAAATCTTTTTTTGTTTTCAATTGTGTTTGGTTCACGTTACTGTGTTTTATTTCTCCAAAATATTTTTTCTGTCCTGTGTATATAATTAGCTTTGGTATTAGGAGTTATATTATTTTGTGTAACAGCGCCCTCTTGTGGGTAGAGTGTATTGTTTGACTGGCATTGCGTTCCCTCGTCAGTCTGCTCACCGGTGGCTGAGGGGAGGTACGTACCGTACGCAACGTGAGCATTAAGACCAAATTAATGTATTTCACTGTCTGTTTAGGTACACTTGATCATTTCTTTATGTGTAATATTGTAAGGGCATATGGGACAAGTGGTTTTGTGTTCTTTTAATTTATATTTGAGGTGAATAATGGGACGTTGCAATAGCTAGCTAACCACCTTGCTCTATGCGTGTGTCGTTAGCTTTCGCCATTTTGTCTCCATGCGGGTAGCCTATATGTTTCAGTGTTTCTTTTTTTTGGAGAAGAATCACGTCCATGTTTTTATTTGATTTCTGCAGGTATGTACTTTTATTCTATTTTATTTTATTACCATGTTCAGCAAATGTGATGTTCATTTATATGTATTACGTTAGGAAGTCCGCCAATTGTGGTGTAATCCTGTAGGTATTTATGTTGTAGTATGTGTGAATAGAGGATATATTTCCTAAGGAGAAGATGCAATGTGATCGGAGAGAAAACAGTTTGATGCGGACATTTATTCTCCATAGTTATTTTTATTAGTTGTATTTTGTTTTATGCTTTTGAATGAATGTAATTCAACTGTCAGTCTGCTCACCGGTGGCTGAGGGGAGGTTACTGGTTGTGTATGGAGGAGAATCACGTCCATATTTTTATTTGATTTCTGCAGAATAAAGTGCCTAAGGGAATGTCAGCGTCCTGTTATCAGTGCACCTGAACAACAACGCAGTAGTCGGCGAGACATAGACCGCGCCGGCTACAGCAGCACGACATATTTTACAGATGGCATGGGATTTATCGAATTTCTTTGGAAATCCAAAGTGTTGCCAAACCTAGGATTTATCGCAAGTTTTCCGGACGTCTAACTCTCCATCCGCCATGGTAACGCTCTCCCACGCGCTCTCCTTCAACTCGCGCGAGACTTCACGAGAATCGGCCACTGACAGCAGTGGAGATGAGCGAAACGGTTAGAGAGGAGTGGTGTTCGTCTACACACAAATCTGTATAAATACATCGGATTATACCGATGAAAAAATGTTAGAAACGATGCACCGCAATTCATTTTGATTAGGGCCATCGCATCGTGAGCATTTACGCCGATGCATCGATGCGAACCAGTGAATCTTCCCATCCCTAGTTTCACTGCATGAAAAGTGAGATTTTCGTCCCTGTAAACGCCCGGAAATCGCCCTAATTTCCGACAATTTGCAACCCGCGCACGTCGCGTCTGTCTGTGCCACAAATTGTCGGAAACAAACCATGACGTAGGTGGAGAGCTGGCGGAGGTGCGAATGGCCCGAATTAGCATATGAATGCAGCGAAACCGCGGGTGGCCGAGCCGAGTGGGCTTGAATATCCTTACTCCTTATTGGATGAAACCACAACTTACTAACAAATAAAATCACTTGTGATTGGCAGCAAAACCACACCTGGGCA